ATCCCACAGTGCTGGAAATCCCTCTGTAACCATTGCCAGAGTCCTGGCCTCCAGGACACCCTGCAGCAAAGGATCTCACGGCCCAGTGCAGTGTTGGGCATGAGGGATTTCCTTCTGTCACCAGCTTTGACACATTTGACACTTTCACTGTCACTGCCTGCCCCCTCTGCCTCTGTAGAGATGGGGAATGGCTGGAGAGCAGCTCCCAGTCTGTCCCACAGCCCCCTCAGCTCCAGGAATTTAATGAAAATCAGACCAGGTTGGGCAGAGAGGCTCTCAGTAGCGATAGCTGCAGTAGCACAACCTCCTATTAGACACCAGAGAACCCACAGAGACAACCAGAATCTTTCCCATTCCTCCACCTCTCCTCAGCTTAAAGCCCTGGGTCCCATTTCACCTCCCTGTGGCCACAGGGCAGTGCCCAGGAGCCAACCTCTCCCCTGAACACCTGGGTGTCCCACAGGGTGTCCCGGGGGTGCCTGTCCTGGGATGTGGCTTTCACTGGGGCTGGAGAAATCTCTGCTGTGCTGGCGAGAGCCCTCAGCACATCAGGAGCCCAGGGGCAGGATGAGGCTGCAGCACCAAACCAGTTCCTATGACAACCCCAAATCCTCAGACTTGTTTATCCCCTTTAATAAAAATCCACAATAACCATGAAAACAGGGAATAAGATTCAATAAGTAAGACGGGGAATAAATCAGGAGCAACGTAAAGCATCTCACTGTTTTACTTCAGCTCCTTCCTTGCTTTCCAAGGAAAAGCCAGAGAAAGGGGGAGCTTTTCTTAAGCACTCAATGTTCCTGTTCATCCCACAGTGCTGGAAATCCCTCTGTAACCATTGCCAGAGTCCTGGCCTCCAGGACACCCTGCAGCAAAGGATCTCACGGCCCAGTGCAGTGTTGGGCATGAGGGATTTCCTTCTGTCACCAGCTTTGACACATTTGACACTTTCACTGTCACTGCCTGCCCCCTCTACCTCTGTAAAGATGGGGAATGGCTGGAGAGCAGCTCCCAGTCTGTCCCACAGCCCCCTCAGCTCCAGGAATTTAATGAAAATCAGACCAGGTTGGGCAGAGAGGCTCTCAGTAGCGATAGCTGCAGTAGCACAACCTCCTATTAGACACCAGAGAACCCACAGAGACAACCAGAATCTTTCCCATTCCTCCACCTCTCCTCAGCTTAAAGCCCTGGGTCCCATTTCACCTCCCTGTGGCCACAGGGCAGTGCCCAGGAGCCAACCTCTCCCCTGAACACCTGGGTGTCCCACAGGGTGTCCCGGGGGTGCCTGTCCTGGGATGTGGCTTTCACTGGGGCTGGAGAAATCTCTGCTGTGCTGGCGAGAGCCCTCAGCACATCAGGAGCCCAGGGGCAGGATGAGGCTGCAGCACCAAACCAGTTCCTATGACAACCCCAAATCCTCAGACTTGTTTATCCCCTTTAATAAAAATCCACAATAACCATGAAAACAGGGAATAAGATTCAATAAGTAAGACGGGGAATAAATCAGGAGCAACGTAAAGCATCTCACTGTTTTACTTCAGCTCCTTCCTTGCTTTCCAAGGAAAAGCCAGAGAAAGGGGGAGCTGGGAAAAGGACAGAGGGCAGGTTTGGAATCAAAGCATCCCAGGGCTGTTTCCTCTCCCTGTAGGAGCCCAGCCCAGGTCAGTCAGGCACAGGTGAAACCCGTGTGGCATTTATTGGGGACAAAGTGTCTCTGAGACCTTCCTGCCCTTTCCAGTCCCCTCCATCTCCTTGTGCTGGCTCCCTGTGTCCCAGCGCAGCATCTCCATGGCATCACCTGGTACTCATGGCATCGTGGGGTGCCCATGGCACCAGGGGGTCCAGTAAGTATCAGGGGTTCTCCAGTGGCAGCACCGGGTGCCTATGGCATCATGGGGGCCCTGCAGAGTCCCTGTGGCATCAGATACTCATCCCTGGGGATGCCACTGCAGTCTCACAGTGGCAAGGACAGGGATGGGAACAGGAATGGGGACAGAGCAGAAGTGCCAGAGGATCTTGGACAAAGACAGCCACTAATCAGGGCCTTGGCTGGTGCTGCTGCCCTGTCAGCCACTGGAGGGGACAAGCTGGAGCCATGCTGGCTCCCAGGAGTCATGATGGTCCCTTGGCACCACCCCTGCGAGAGGCTCTGCCATCTCGGGGGGGTCTGCAGCTCTACAGGATCATTCCAGGGCAGTGCATGAGGAGTTTATCCCCATCTCTCCCCTTTTCTTCTTGCTCAGCCCTGGCTCCCATACAAGCTCAGCTTTGTCTCACTCTCCCACAAGTGCTGCCAGCCCCCTCCTGTTCCTGAGGACACCAGGGAGATGCCCACATCTCCCCCACTTCAGCCAGGCCCATGTGCCAGCTGAGACCATGCTCTTCCTTGGCATTAATTCAACCATTGCTCACCACCCGCGTCCTCCATCAGGCACACTCTCCAGACTAACTGCTGGAGTTTTCCATCGAGGGCTTGTGCCTCTCCTTGGTTCTCAGCTCAGCCTGTCCCACACTGGCTGCCCAGCCTGGCACAGCCTGGCACGGCACAGCTTTGCCACCCCACAAGGTCCCAGCACCAGGCTCACACCAGCAGGAGGAAAAGCCCAGCCAAACTTTTCTGGTAGACTTGGCAGTGCTGGGTTAAATGCTTGGACTTAAAGGACTTTTCCAACCAAACCGATTCCATGACTCTGTGATTCTAAAGCCCCCCCCACCACCCTCCACCAGGAGCTTCTGGCCTCTTTGCCAGGACACACCACCACGACCTCACCCACCCCACTGCACCCTCATTCCGGGGTGCCTGGGCACAGGGTGCATTGGGACACAGCCCAAACCCCAGCTGGGACACGGAGCTTCTCCCCACCTCCCATCCAGCCCCCACCTCCTTTGCTCATCTCTGGCTGTGGGACCCTCCTGGGTCCCAGCCCTTGCCCACCCCAGCCTGCAGCCCCCAGCCCAGCACAAGCACCCACCTTTCCTGCTCCAACACCCAGCAGAGCAGGACACCGGCAGCACCAGGAAACCACCACGGACGGGCAGTGAATCCCCGAGCTCAGCAGAGCCCAGCGCTGCCCCCGAAACGAGGCATTGCCCCCCCGCCCCACCAGGTGCTCCCAACGCGCTCCTACCTTGTGTCCGAGCTCGGGCGCTTCTTTGTGCTTTCACTGCCAGCACACCCTGGGACTGCTGGCTTAAAGGATTTTCCTATAATAACCACCAAATCCCTGCCCTGGGCAGTAAGCTGCAGACCTGGGCCCTTTCCGAGGTGCCGAGCACCCCGCGCTGCTCTGCTCTCTCACGCTTTGCATATGCTCTTATCGAACTGGATTTCCCCCCTGCTCCTGACTCAGCCCCGTGCTTAAAAAACCCTAAATCCCCGTGAATTTCATTTCCCCTTGTCTGCGAGGTCTATCCCCGGTTTCGGTCTCACCCACATACTTTACATACTCCAGCTCACAATCCTGACATGAGCTTTCCACGAGCTCCAGCGCCCTCCCTGCGCGGAGGCTGCGCGACCCGCGTGTCCTGCCCGGAGCAGCCCGGGGCGGCTGCGGCTCCTCCCGGGACCCAGCGCTGTGTTCTTGCCCCAGCACCCCCACGCCACGGCCCATCACTGCTGCTGGGGCTGGTGCGGAGGGGGCCAGGCTGGGGACGGGGCTGGGGGGGGTGGTGATAGAGCCCGGTCCTGGCAAACAGCCCCCGAGAGGGCCCCGAGAAAGGAGCGACCCAAACCTGCTCCCCCCCGCCCCAGCCAGGGGATGCTCACGCAGCCATGCAAATAAGCGTCAGTAGCAGATCCTCTCCCCCCATCATAAATTTCTCCCCGCGGGGATCTCTGACAGCAGCCGAAGGCTCCCCTGGGGGCACACGAGCTGCTGTTTTCCCCCCACCTTATTTCACTTCTCATTTTTGATTTCACAGTAAAGAGTTGATGAAGTTGGAACCCAGTGATTGCAGCAGCTTTCAAGGTTACAGACTGGAGCGGCGGCTGAAACTGCTGGTTCCTCTCCCTGAAAAGCATGTTTTGCCCTCAACCCTGCACATGCTGGGCTGTTTGCACGTGGTGGCACACGGGGAGTGGGAGCACCTGCCACGGGGTGTGCTTGTCACACCGGGGTGCAGGCAGTGCTGTGGGGGAGCCTGGTGGGCTCCTGCCACCACCACCATCTCCACCCTCGGTCACCGGCCCTCGGGGAGGGTACTGAGCACATGGGCATGGGGCAGGAGAAGTGCACGGGGCAGATGTGCATGGAAAAGATGTGCATGGGGCAGGGGATGTGGATGGGGCAGATGTGCACAGAGCTGATGTGCATGGGACGTGAGATGCGTATGGAGCAGATGTGCATGGAGCACCAGGTATGTGTGGAGCAGATGTGCATGGAGTAGAAGATGTGCATGGAGTAAAAGATGTGCATGGAGTAAAAGATGTGCACGGAGCAGATGTCCACAGAAGGGCAAGCTGGGACAGGGCAACCTAGGACAGGGCTGCAGGGACCACATGTCTCCCAGGACCCACAGGACCAGCACTATTGCTCTGGCTCTGAACACAGCAGGGCTGGACAGCTGTTTGCTGGCTTTAATGAGAATGGGCTTGAGAACACAAATCACGGACCTGCTGAGCCAGGAAAGAGCAGGTGGTGGCTTGTGCTGATGGAGACAGGTGTGCTTGGAGTCCTCCTGGAGCCATCGGCACCCCATGGCTTCCATAAGGCAGAGGTGCTCAGCCCCATGGACTGATCCTGTGCTCGAGATGATTACTGGGTCCCAGAAGAGCTGCTGCTGAGCCCCAGCAGAGGGTCTGGCCCTGAGCCTCACCCGGCACCGCTGCCGGACAGGAACGGACTAGGGGAGCTGTGCCAGCTCCAGGCATGGCGTGCTGAGCTTGCACCGGGCTGTGCCACACAAACAGATCCACTTCTTCTTTATTGTGCCCTGAAGAAATGTCCCTGCTTCCTCCCCTGAAACGGGCTCTTCAGCCTGGTGGGCTGCGGTGCCACATGTCACTTGGCAGCCACCCGGACACTGGCGTACTCGGGGCTGGCTCTGACGGGTCTCTTGCTGCGCCGCGGGGCCTTGGGCAGGGGCTGCAGCTCAGCGTAGTGGATCTCCTGGGGCTCCTTGCTGCTCTGCTGCTGGAGAGCACACAAACGGTGGATGCTGCTGCTCACCCAGTGCCCTCCCAGGCCCTGGAGCCTTGGGATATCAGCGCCAGGCGCTCTTCCCTGGATTCATGTCTCTCTCTTACCTGGCTGGGCAGTTGTGAGGTCTCTGCATCCAGGACTTTGCTGCCGGGGGAGGAAGGGTGGCCATTAGAGCTGAAGGAAGCTGGGTCCCCTCCCCACCCAGCACTGCTTTCCTCAGTTTCCCTCCCGAATTTTAGCGGGGATCTGAAGCACGTGGCCACACTTGATGCCCACTCTGGAGGCAAAAGAGAGGGATGAGGTGCTGTCTGTGTATCTGGACCAGGCTCAGACACCGCGAGCAGGGGCTGCAGGAACTCCCCAGCAGGGGTTGCTCCCCCCCATGTGCTCCTTTGAAAAGCAGAGCGAAGCTGCACAGCACAGTGATGACTCTGTGGGCAAAGGAGATTTTCTGGGGAAAATTACTGCTCCAGAGGGAAAGGAAACCAGGATAAGGTAGGTGGAGAAAGCAGTTTCCTCATTTCCAGGTGTAGAAGGATGAGGTGGTGGGTACAAACCTAGGGGTGCTGGGGGTCCCTGCACAGCACTGCAGAGGGACGGGTAAGAAGCTGCCCGTGGCTGCTGACCCGTCCAGGCTCTGGTTCTCTGCCTGACCTTGGTGCTTCCTCCTGTACATGTAAAAGGCGATGAAGAGGCTGAGGAGGAGGAGGAGGCAGAGCACTACAATTACAGCCACCGTGCTGGGAACCAGGGCTACGTCTGTGGAGACAGAAGGCAGAGCAGGGTGAGGGCAGTGGGCGCGGGGCAGGGGACCCCACTGCGGGCAGGGTGGGGGCCGTGGGAGGGGGTCCTGGGGAGCAGCATCCCACTGGGCTGTGCTCACCATGCAGGGACACCTCGGTGCCCTTTCCCTGTTGGAACACCTCATCCCCACGGCCCAGCACTTTGCGGAACTTGATGCAGTAATAGGTGCCGGCGTCCTCAGGGTGAACGTTCCCAATGTGGATGCTGAAATCCGTGTTGGACCAAGGCTCTATCCTTGTCACACGGGGTGGGGGGGGGCTATTCTGGTCATAAATAGTCTCATTCTCGCTGCCCAAGCCCTTCAGCCACTTCGTGGGACCAGCGGGACCCGCTCCAGACGTGGTGCAGGTCAGGGTGAGTGTGCCACCCACGACCACCGACACCTTGTCCTGGGGTTGCCACAGCTGGAAGGCAGGATTCGTCTGGGCACCCACACCTGGACACAGTGACAGGAGGGTTTGGGGCTGAGCCACAGAGCCAGATGAGGGCTCGCTCCACCCCTCCTGAGCTGCACAGGCCTCAGCTCGCTCAGAGTTTGCAGCAGCTCAGCTGAGAAATATTCCTGGAAATGGCAGAGACAAACCACAGGCACTGGGAGCTGAGGTTAAAACTGAACAAGGGACAAACTTGCATCCCATGTCGTGTCATTATCTGGAAGGCACTGTTGGTGTTTAGAGTCCAGAGAGGTACAGAGCCAGCCAAGGGGAATTCCTGGCAGGAAAAACTCCTGAATGCTGTTAAACATTAACGTCCCAGCTCTGCTCAACAGGAGCCAGGATTACTGGGAGTCTGCCAGGAACTGGGGGTCCACAGCCCGGGGCTGTGCCCTGCCAGCCAGGAGAGGCTCAGAGCAGGGACGTGCAACCCAGGGGCCAGCACAGCCCCCAGACCCCCCCTGCCCAAAGCCCCCTTCTACCTTCAGCACCGGATCAGCAGGGGTTGGACCCCTCGGGGCAGGGCCCTGCACCCCTAGGGCTCGGCACAGGCCGGGGCTCGGGGCTCTGCATCCCGGGGCTCCGCATCCCGGGGCTCTGTATCCCCGGGGCTCTGTATCCCCGGGGCTCTGCATCCCGGGGCTCTGCATCCCG